GATTCATTTTGAGGGCGTGGCCAGGGTCACTGTTGCTACTACTACTACGGCGTCCCGAATGGGCCAAACTCGCTCTGATCTTTCGCGCAGCCGCACTGCCGCCTCAGGCAGAGTGAAGCGGAGCGCAGAGAAAGCTCGTCGACTTCGCAGCACCGACGAGCCACGGAGGGAGCGGACAAACAGGAATCCTATGAGAAGTAAAGTCCTCTCGTGTCTGGGAAGGAGGAAGCGGGACTCGAGCCCGAGCGAAGCGGATTTGGACTACGGAAGTGTCGCGGATCCAACAGCGACGGGCCGCGGCCGCAAAGCAGGAAAGTTACCCAGGGACGAGGTCGTGTCGGCGGGCGGGGAACACCCAGCAGCCCCGGGGCGTTTCGAGACATTGTCCGGGCCGAGCGATGGGAACACCGAAGCCGCCCGGCTCGTTGTGAACCGGGAGCCCGTGGCTGGTTCGTCCGATGAGTCAGGCTTGGAAAGGCGGAACGGTGAAGTCAGCAGTGCGGGCTGCGAGGAGCCGAGCCCCGGGAGGGAAGACAATGCCTCGGATCCCCCGACCAGGGCCATGGAAAACCAGCCACTGGGGGGAAACAGTCAGGACCACTTCGTGTCTGAGTCCAGGACCACCGCTAGTCTGAGCCTAATAACCCCGCTCCTCACCTCTGACCCGGACACTGAACGGACTCTGCCCCCGGATCCACATTCGGACGGTGGGACGACGAAAACCGACGATCACACCCGGACGAAGATGACGAAAACCGACGAGGAAAACAACTGCTGTCCGGCCGAGGCGGATGACTCCGACCAGAGCTCCCCGGGAGGCCAAAGTTTCCCGGGAACCATACCGAAACTGATCATAACGAGAGACCCGAGTCCGAGCCGCTCCCAGCAGGGGACGGAGCTCAGCACCGGCCTGTGTCTGGACCCCCACGCCGACGACGAGTTCCCCTGCTCGGACAGCGGCTGCGGGGGCTCCCCCGCTGCGACGCGCTCCTTCAGGAAGCTCTCCTCCTCCTCCCTCTGCCTCTCCTCGGCCTCCTCCTTCGACGAGTCCGAGGACGACTACACCGGCAGCGACGTCGAGTCCTCGGGCCGGTCCCCGTGCAACCCGGACGATGGACCAGGGGTAAGAGTCAACTGGAAACCTCCAGAACCAGTGGTTTACAAACAGTTTGACTTTGTTTCTCAGCTTTTAGCAGGAGAGATCACATGTCTCCAGTTTTAGTTTCTCTCCGTTGGCTCCCTGTCAAATCCAGAATTGAACTCAAAATCTTACTTCCAACCTACAAAGCCATCAACAACCTAGCTCCATCTTATATTAGAGATCTATTGGTCCATATTTTCCTAACAGAGCACTTCACTCTCAGACTGCAGGCTTATTTGCGGTTCCTAGAGTTTCCAAAAGCAGAACGAGAGGAGGATCTTTCAGTTATCAGGCTCCTCTCTTGTGAAACCAACTTCCAGTTTCTGTCCAGACATTGTCCAGTTTTAAGACTGGGCGTAAGACTTTCCTTTTTGATAAATCCTATAGTTAGGGTTGGCTTGTTATGCTGCTATAGGTTTAAACTACTGGTCAAACCCAGCCGGTCGAAGCAGATGGCCGCTTGTCCCGAACCTGGTTCTGCTGGAGGTTTCATCCTCATGAGGGAGTTTTTCCTTTCCACTGTCGCCTTCATGCTTGCTCAAGATGAGTCTGCAATGAAGTTGGACTCGAAGCAGTCTGCTCCTCAGATAAATAGTGTTAAGTTTTTATGTATATGAATGTTTCTGTTCAGTGCCCTGAGACTTCTGCTGTGACTTGGCACTATATAAATAAGAACTGAACTTTATTAATAAAACCAAAACAAAAGAACATGAACAGGTCTTGCAGCTTCAGCTGCCAAAACAAAACTAATGCAAATATTCCTCAGTTTACCGTGACAGACGGTGGCCAATTAGGGCCACTTTTCCCCTTAATAGACCATAAAACCAGATGCAAACTGACTATAATGTCCTAAATAAACCTGCTCTTGAAAAGTAAGTTACTAAACAGACTGTAGATGTTAAAATCTTGTTTACACAATCGTTTCTAGTCGCATGCACTTTTAGTCATCAGACAGCTCAGAGGACGTGTGTAGATATTTCCATGATGTCTTCAGGCATTTACCCACAGTTCGTCACATCTGTCTCTGTCAGGACAGACTCGGGACGGTCCAATCTGTGTCAGTGGTATTTTAAAGCCACGTTAGCCGTCGGTGTAAAATGATCAATGTTTTGATTTGGATTTTAAGTACATGTGTTGAATCTAGGATAAAAATAACCACTAAATACCCCTCGTTCACTACCAGGAGTCGTAACAAATGAGCAAAATCAGCGGAGTCGTGTTTTGTTGCCAACAGTTATGAGTGGTTTGATTACGTATGAACACTGAGGAGAACACATGGGATCGTCTCGCTGCGCTACAGGTATAGTGAGTAAAGTGATGGATGTAAACCGAGTCAGAAGGAGAACGGTGGAATCGGAGATGCCAGGTCCAAAGAGAAAATGTCAAGTTAGTTCTACGACTAAAAGTTACGAGGACGACCGTGGACTGAAGTGGGGTCATTTTTGGGGGGAGGAACTGGAGAAAGTTAAAGTTGGAGCTCAGATCATCTGAGATGTTCCGAACTCGATGTCCGTGAGTTTAGTTGTAAACAAAGGTGAGGGATATTTGCTGCTTTCTAAAACTTTTTTTTTTTTTTTTACAAAAACTCTGAGTACATTAACCCCAAACAATAACTTAATGTAGAAATTGTCTTCAACGCACAACACCCCCCCCCCCAATAAAAGCTACATATTTTGACAGCTTTCAAAGCCTTAAATCCCAGAACGTGACGCATTCATAGTGTGGACGTGGACAAACAAGGCCCCGCTGTCTTCTAATAGATTTTTTTTGTTGTTTTCTCCCTGGAATTTGTGATGATGTAAAACAAAACGGCTGAGACGATCCGTCTTTACGTCAGATTTACTGATCGGCTCGGATGACTTGAGCGCAGTTAAACCAAAGAAGAAGAAACAGGGTTTTATTTCCAACAGCTTCCACGCTAACGTGCCTCAGAATCGCCTGACTTTGGTGAACTCCATCGACCAAGGGGTCATTGAAACTCTGCGCAAGCACATTTTTTTGTTGGCTTGTCATCCGAGTCCAGTAAATAAACTTTTTACAGATGCGATCAAAAGGGAATGAAACATCCTGTGATTAGGGCTTCTTCCTCTCCAGATAGAAGATGTAGCACTCTGGAGGTTTTAGTAGGAAGATGGTATCTCTCCCCCATCCCCCGTTTCAGTCAGGAATATTTGTCACACTGTTGACCAAAGATATGCTTGAACGGTTTCCATTGACGATGGCCTTCCAGCGTTGTCTCTTGTCTCGGCATCACGTGAACCTTGAAATCAGTTGTTTCGTTTTTTATCTGCACCTCGTTGTCTTATGTAAAAAAAAAATTACATCTATCACAAATGTGTAGCTTTATGTACTTTTTACACAGCAGTGCACTCAGATTTGTGCAGAACGTACAACCTTGGCACAAGTTGTACTCAAAGATTTTAATTATATAGGTTATTTTATTTATTGCACAATGGCCGCTCCACTGTCATCAGGGTATTTCTCTGTATAGTATATAAAAAAAAAGTAATATATATTCATTAGGGATGCACAATATTATCGGCATGGTATCCGTATCGGCCGATATTGGCGATAAAGTTAAATATCGGACATCGGCCATTCCATCAAAATAACTCACCGATATAAAAGGCGAGGTTTTTTAGTATATATTATACATTTATATAGTGTTGCATCATTTTCAGCTCCTTTTTGGCATCTGAATTCGGTAGCAGGCCAAACTGACAAAGAGCAGAATAATGTATTTTAATTCCACAGCAGAGAAAGTTATGTAGTCTCTGTAAGTAGGTCTAGGGTAAAAATATTGATATCGGTTATCGGCCAAATAAGTTTTAACATATCAGTCAAAAATCCAATATCGTGCATCCCAAATATTCATGAAAGTCTTTTGGTGAGCCTAACTATATGAAACTAGTATGTTGCTTTGACTTTATGCAATATTAACTCAACTGAAATAATAATATAACTGTGATAGGATAGTTGTGTAGACAAATAAAACATAAACCCTATAATTTTAATGCAGATCAGTCTTTTTTTACAATTAGAATACTTCCCAGTAGTTGAAATGGCTGTGGAATGTCAATTAAAAAATTTCAGCGATCTGTTGGGAGAAGTTCTCCAGCTGATTTGAAATATTTCAACATTTGCTCGAAAACTTAGCTCCAACTTTTTGCTTCAAATGTGTCCACTGCTCGAGTTCCTCCCCCAGAATGACTCTGTCTTCTGTCCACTCGTGTTCTTACAGTTGTTGTTTTTTTTTTCAGAAGAACTTTACCTTTTCTCTTTGGACCTCCTCCTCCGGCTCTGTTTACATCCCAGGATTATTTTACCGGCTCTATCCATCGGTCCGAGACCGTCTGAGGTGGACTCGCCAACGTTCGAATGTAATCAAACGACTCGTAATTGCAGGCAACAAAACGTGACTCTGCTGATTTCACTCATTTTATTACAACTTAATTATACAGTAGACTTAATGGCGGTTAATTGGTGCTTATTTTTATCATAGGTGATAAACATAAAAACCAAAACATTTAAAAAAAAATCACATTTTGGCAGTTATTTAATGTTTGCTCAGAAACCTGCCTTCTATATTTTCTCCCAGTTTCAGATTCTCAGTGTGAAGCTTTGCTCACATACCTCAGCTGAACCAGTTACTTCTCGTGTTAAAACCTGTAGCATTTCTTCAGCCTGCAGTCACTTCCACTGATGTTTCCACCAATACAATAGCTTCAGTTCAGTGTTATAAAACTTTTTTTTTTTTCTCAAACCTGCACTTAGAAAATGTTTTTTTGTTTTTTTTTGTTTGAAGATTAGTTAAAATTCAATTAAACATGCAAGTGTCAAGAAAAAGCACTGGGCTGATTTTGAGCACCCGGTAATGGGTCTACGATGTAGAAATGCACATTTTGTCACTCCAGGTTACGGCAACGATCTCCACGGGTCAGCAGACGGTGAAACTTTGAGGATATTGTACTTGAGTCCAGGAAATGAGCAACCCTCTTGCTGTCGTAAAACCCAGAATGATGTCGTTTTGTGGCTTGTGATAAGTGCAGGCGTTAATGGGCACGCGTTGTCCTCTCGCGGCTCCGTACAGCTCTGTTGCAACGAGCAGAACAAGGGCGTGTTTTTGTTGTTTACGGGCTGGAAGTGACTCCGTCTCGGCCGTCTGCTCCCGGCCAAACCTTACAGCCACGGTTTGTTTGCTCTGTGACGTGAGAGGATACTTGAACGCACAGTCCTCCTCTCTCGCAGCTATGCTGTCTTTCATTCAGAGCCGTGTGTTTGTGTCATGGAAAATCAGGCTGAAGGCTGAGCCGGTCGCTAGGCAACGCCTTTTGCCATATATGGTGTTTTTTTTTTTTTTCCTCTCCTCCTTGTCTTGTGTTTTTATTTATTCATCGACTGTATCTACTCTGTCCCTGACATTTGAATGCTATTAGATGCGAATATATGTAAATACTTTTGTAACAATAAGCATTGTATATTATCAGCTTCTTCCACTGTGGGACTTCTTTTTAATGACTTTTATTAAGAGTTTAATCATTTCCTCTCATAGGACACGAAGCAGACTTCACAGTGGAACAGAAGTAAAGAGGAAAAACAGTGTAATTTTGGCACATATGCCACATAGACAAAAGCAGTTACAACAAAGCTCGGAGCCTACACATCATGATTACTCTTACCCGTGCATGCTTATTAACTCACGGAACACAAAGGCTGACTTGTCTGGGCTACACAACACCCCCACAATGCTGCAGAGTTACCATAATAAATTCAACTCGTGCTCATTTTTTGTGTCTTAAATTCCAAACAATATGTCGAGCGCACAGATTAGAGCTGTGCATTATTAGTTACTGCACAGCATGCAACAAAATAACACGCGCCGTTTGTTCATATTTCGGTTCGGGAGCGTCACCACATGTACAAATACTCCCATCGCAGGAACGTATTGGTTTATTTATGCGGGAATGGAAATCTTATTCTGT